AGTTTACTTATAGTTCAATGGTTTATCCCTAATGCCTTCGCTGATTGGTTGTTCAAGGAGATTTTTTGAGTCGGTAACAGTATTTGCGTACGTCGCCGCATCAACCTTTAGGCAGGTAATGATCCCAGACTTTCTGTGGGGTTTTTCCAGTCTAAAAGTGCTAACGATGGGTCTTGACCAGAATTTTGGCTTTTGTCTCTGCTCGGTCATTAGATTGTGGGTAACAAGGGCTGGAAGGTAGATGCTTAAACTGCCAATCTATTGAAAATTCTGTGGCAGAAAATTGAGGTCGGTTGTCCGTTATCACTGTATCCGGGATTCTATGTCGTGCAAACTGGACTAATTTGTAGGCTACTATGACTTTATCAGCGGTAGTTCTCGTAAGTTATTAGACTTCGAAGAATCCACCCAAGTGGTCTACAAGCAGAACAAAGTGCTGTTTTCCAAGCTCAAAAAGGTCAATACTGACCGCTTCCCAGGGACGGAATGGTATTGGGAATGGTTTTAATTCTTCACAACATTGTACAGGTTAATACGCCTGCCATGTTGGGCGTTTTGAAGTCTTTGACATCAGCGTTCACGAGTATTCAATATAACACCTCACGGGCTCTCCGAAGACGTAATTCTATGTCAATGTGAGATCGGCAAATCTGCGTCAGCATTTCTTTTCTCATTGATGTGGAGACTATTAAACGTTCACCAGCAAAAACTTGTCCATTATCTACAACTACAGTAGTTCACTTCTTTTGCCTTAGAACGGTGCCAAGTTATGGCTGCACTGTCTCTTGGATCTAGGCCATCATTCCTTACTCTGCATGGTTTTATCTGGCGGTGTCTCGCGCTTGAACTAGTTGAGTCTTTCCGGAGAAATAGACCGATTCTCTGTATCAGGGGCGCGGAAGAAATGTGAAGCGGCGGGGGCAGCCATTTCAAAAGGGCACTTGCTTCTCAGACTTAATTTTTCTGGGCAGCATCAACCTCGTACACGGGCTCTTTCCACTACGCGCCTCGCTATTTTCTAAATTATTTTGTTCTTATGTTACTTTTTTAAAGCGAAGCGCGTAGTGAAAAGAGCCTGGGTACGAGGTTGAGCAGCAATATTTCTTAAAACGTTACTGTATGGATACTCGATTACTTTTGGCTATTATGGGTCGCAAACGTCGACATTCGCTGCCGTCCAGGGACACCGGAACGATGTGAAGGCAAGAGGGCAGATTTTCTTGAAAGATTTTGGGCAGATTTTCGTTTTGAATTGATATATACTAAGAGATGTTTGCAAAACATCGGGAATTGAACTTCGCCTAATCATGTTTTCCATTTATTGGATGATAGGGGTGTGATGTCTGCTAGGCGATTGTGCTATTCTTGAAGCTCGATGACTGCATTTCTTGCGTTTTGTGAAGGAGATTCGTAAAGAATTGCACTAGCTTTTCTGACAATTCGCTATTTCGCAAAGGCAATCCTTTAAATTGAAAGGGCACCTTTGCCCCCCTTGCCCCTCCTGGTAAAGGGCAACGGGGGCCGCTGCCCCACCTGCCCCCCCCCCAGTTCCGGCGTCCCTGCTCTGTATGGTCGATCTCTTTCAGGGCTCGTATCTCAGTCGTGTTATGACGCCAATATTCTATTGTGTTTCGTATTGCACCACTCAGGGTGTCAGATATCCACATGAGTTTGCCTTTCTTGTACTGCACGTTGAGATTGTTATTTTGGACGGCCAGCAACATTCTCTACAACTGTCTAGGCGAGCTATGTATGGGTTT